GGGAAAGAGAGGATTCAGGGGTGACTCCTGACAGTGATTGGACGGAGAGCAGGCAACAAAAATGGGGAAGACTGGGAGAATGGGAAATAGAAGGACCAAGAGTTTCATTTGGGGCATTTACATGTGAAACCCCAGTGAGATCCAAATGGAGAGCAGGCAGTTGGGTGCAGGGATGTGGGGTGTGGGCCTGAATATACAATGTTGGGAGTCACCAGATAGTGTTTGCAGATTTATGGTTTTATGAAATATCCCTGGGAAGAGAGAGAGAGAAGAAACCAGAGCCAGCGAGAACCCAGGGCCATGCCAGCACTTGGAGGTTGGGCCAGTGGCTGGAACAGTAGCTCAGGGCCTGGCACATAGGACATGCTCAACCAATCTTTGTCACCAAGTAAATCAGAGCCAGTAGTTGTCTTTGCTGGTGGTTTCTTGAGCAGCTTGCTTTTGAAGTAAGGTTCATTACAAGCTTGAGGACTAGAGGACAGGGATCTTTTGTTCATCTTTAGTTAATAAATTTGGTAAATTAAAGCTGCTTTTTGAAGTGATGTGTGGCTGTCTTCTGGGTCTCTGGGGTGACACCTGAAGGGCCTGGCTCTGATGGCCCCTGTTCCACGTGAAGGACAGGTAGAGCTTTCCTGTGCGTGGTCCCCTGCCTTCCCCCTTTCTGATGGGAGAACAAAGCACATAGATTTGGGGCCCCCAGGAGCCTCCGTGGCCCCCTGATATGCCAGCACCCAGGCAGAGCTCTCCTCACACATGGGAGACAGCTGCCCTTCCCTGCTTGCGACACATCTCAGAAATGTCAGCCTGGCATCCTAAGTGCTCTAGCTGAGTCCTCACTGCAGCCCATCAGGCAGACACTGTTTCCCCATATTTCACAAGAGGAGAGTGAGGCTCAGAGAAACTATACAACCAGCCCCAAATCATACAGCTAATTATATCTGAGCGGAATTTTGAAGTAACACCAAGACACTGGTACCAAAGCCCTGATGCCTTTTCAAGGTGATAAACTGAGGCTCCTAGGAGCTCCTGGGAAACTGAGGCACGTGGCTTTGTATGCAGCTATACGTTAGCGTTCACAAGTGCTGCTAATGGTGTGGGACACTGGTGTCCTGCCCCAGACCCAGCTGCTTCCCCTTTCCCGCACACTCTAGGTAGGGGCGCCATGATCCATCTCCTGATTCCCCGACGGAAGCCCACGGCCTCTTCTCCCTCAACCTTTTGCCCACAGCTGAAATAAGAAGTGAATCAGGTGCCAGAGACAATGAAGGGCTGGGGGTGCGTTTCTTAGAGCTCACCCCAACCCATGCCTCTCTGCGTCTCAGACCAGCTGGGGGTAAGCCCGCCCCCCTGCCCGCCTCCAGGGCCTGGGGCTGCCTGAGGCTGGGGTCACTGGCCTGGCCTAACCTACACTCACCTCTCTTGGCCTCAGTAGTTAAGGCCTTCCTGGGTTAACGGGGAAATCCCTTTTTCAGGAAGTTAAGAGAAGCCACATTCATTAATAATGGAGGTTAGGCACTAGAACAGGCCAAAGGTCATAAAGAGCCAGGAGAGAAGAACCCCTCCCGGTATATAAAAAGCGCATCCTACCCAGCCACCTGCAGAACTTCTCACTTCAACACAGACGCGAACACAAAAACCCAAATCACAGGAAATGGGTGACTATACATATTTTAATAAATCAAAGTCTGGAATCCTAATCCTCAAATGGTTCCTTAGAAAACTCCAGGGAACACAGACATTTGAATGCAAAGAGATTCACTTATCCCCACACATATTTTTACGTGTACTGAATGTTTTACGTTTACGTGGGGGAGGGGAGGGGAGGGGAGGGGTGCAAACTAAGAGTGGAAGGCTGAGTGAGTTAATGGGAAGTTTCCTAATGAAACGACACCCTCCGTGTTGCTACAAAATATTTCATTCTGATTCGCCATCACAGTAACCTGAAATGTAGAAAACAAAGATATTAATGACAGAAATATGGAGCTGGTGTTAAATGTAGAGAGTGAATATTCGATGACCTCAGGGCTCGGCTTTGTTCAAATGCTTCTTGTAAGGTTATAGCTAAGATGTGGCTCTAATTCATAAACATCTTCAAGGCTTTCTGAAACCCTCTGAATTTCTCTGGGGGTGATGGGGTGGGCCCCAGAGCATAGGATCTCCTGTATCAAAGTGCTGTTTTTTAACCTGTCTTAAATATGCCTCACTGCATTTCACAGGGATGTGGGTATGTCCTCCTGTTTCAGGAAGTGAGGGCCAAGTCAGCCTGACCTCAGCTACTCTGTTAGCAGTTTTATAGAGTGTTCACCATGTCCTGTGTCATACGTCACCAGGTGGTGCCACAAGGGGCTTCAGAGTCACAAAACCACTTTGGTTTGCATCCAAGTCAGCTATCTATTGAAGATCTTGGGCAACCTTCATAATCTTTCTTAGCCTCTGTTTTCTCATCTTGTAGAATGTGGATAATGAGAATACCTACTTCATGAGGTGTCTCCAGGATTAAGTGAGATAAGGCAGGCAAAGGGCTTGGTGTGGAGCCTGGCTGGGGTGAAATCCTGCCCTACACTTAGGCTGCCCTGGGTGAAACATCAAAATCTTATTTATTAACTTGTTTGGTCTGCGTTCATATCTGTTTGGTGTAGTGTGGGTTAGCTAGTTAGATGACCAACAGAGAAGTTCAGTTTTGTTCTTTTTTTCCCCCCACAATTTAGCATTACCCTATTTGGATTTTGAAACTCAGTTTCCCATGGGAGTGAGTGTCTATTCAAAATAAAATGTGCACTTTCTTCCAGAATATTACTGGATTTTAAATCAAGATCAGGCAAGAGTAATATCCATCAAAAGATTCAATGGGTGTTCCAGGGGAATCTCAAAAAAACATAAGTGAGGAAAACCAGCTAGTCAACTTACTGGATATTTAGTTCCATATTAGAAAAAGAGCATTTGTTGAAATCACTCTCTTTTGAACTTGCTATGGTGATGTCTCTCTTTAAGTTGTTTTTACACCAATGGCCACATTCAATGCCCAGCTCTTCACTGGGGCCACTCAATTCCCCAGACAATATTAATCTAGTCAAAATGGTTTTTTTGGGTAGTGCAGCCAGGAGCAAAATCATGTGACCACAGACTGAGCCTAAGGTGGCAGATAAAAAGGAAGAGTCTGTCCCCTGCAGTTTTACTTAATTAAAAGTGCCAAGGTTTTGGAAAAAGGCTTTTACCCACTCCTTCTGCATCAGCCCCATGATAAGGCCAGTGAAAGATCTGTTCAAGAGGGACGAAGACTTGGGCTCAGAGGGGGCTCCCAAGACTCCCTGTTTTCTCTTGCATGCAGATGAAATGCATCTCAGGGCATGCAGACCCAGGGACCCTTAAGGGCGAGCAGCCGGTGCCCTGTTCCCACACACCACTCACCATTGTGAGCGATCAGCCGGTACTGCCTGGCCAGGCACAGCTCCTCCTGCCTCTGCCTCACGATTCTCTGCACCTCCGGGGAAAAGCCGTTCAGGTCACGGGCGAACACGAAGGAGTAGCTGTCAGCGCAGGTGCCATCGAGGTTCAGGAGGCGGCAGGAGTACTGCACAGCATAGGTGTCGTAGTCCGTGTCAATGATCCAGTGGTCATCGTCTGCAAGGCAGAAAGCCACGGGGCCACTGCGTCTCCCTCCGCCACTCAGATGTTAAGGAAACTTACTGCCTGGCCCCAGAAGCCAGCCACTTCCCGAAACTGGATTCAGGAGTTAGGAAGCAGGAGACTACAGAGAATTCTGACAGCTCTTAGAAAACTGGGACCATGAGAAAGGATCTTGTCCTTTACAGGAAAAAATACTGGAGTCGGTGGTGGGGGGAACCTCATTCACTTTAATAATTCTTTCTCTCCCTGATAATAAATGTGATCGTATCTTTCCAAAGAACAACCGAGAATGTGCACCCATCAAAACCACAGACTAGACCTTTCTACTGATGTCTCCTCCATCTACCCTCTGACAATATCTTGTGACTTTGTGGCTGATACTGATGGCCGCCAACGTATGTCACCCCCAACAGCAGGATGAATCTTTGGCACTGATCCGTATCAGCTAGTTCCCGGTCCTCTCACTATCCACACTGCTCTCCTGCCTCTCAGTCCACTGGATGATCTGGTTCATGGCTTTTCTGGCTCCACCCTAATTCTGGCTTAGTAACCTGACTCACTTCTCCAAGCTGGCAAAAGAGGGTAGGTTCTGCCTTGAGGGCACAAGATGCCTACCCTCTGACATCAGATATTCTTTCTTAGAGCTCATACTCTTCAGAGCTCTCCTGACAGAGGCAGAGCTGAGCCCTTGAAGAATTTAGACTATATTTCTTCCTAAGACTGGGATGTAAGCCATGAAGCATAAGTGTAAAGAAAGGTGGTACTAACGTCAATAAAGACAGGATGGGGAAACCACGTTAGTAAGAATGTATGTGAGAGGTTTGCCATGGAGAAACAACAATGTGGCTATCCAAACACCTCACATTTGGTAAAATGTGTCACATCTCTGCTTAACATTCTTGTTGATGTATAACCATGACCAAGACTTTCTGAGCACTTAGTTATGTGTCAGTCACTGTATGGACACTTTCTGTGCTTTCTCAATTATTTTTCACAATGACCTGAAAGTGCACACTATCATCCCCATTTTCCAGATAAGGAAACTGAGGCACAAAGAAATTAAGTAATTCACCCAGGATCACAAAGAGCAGGACAGAACTGAGTTTCAGTCTGACTCTGGAGCCCGCATACCTAACCTCTACACCACACTGTCTCCAGGCGATAAATAAACTGGGGGCAACAGGGGATAAGAAACAAGAAATGCAAAGCCTCCGTGTCTCCATTTCACACCCAGGTCATGAGGCAAGTGATGAGCTCTGCTCTATGTCATGTTCTGTGCTGCAGGAACGCAGGGGAACCTGGATCCCCCAGCATTAAGGGTGTAAGGGAGATCGCTAATCCTTGCCTAAGTCGCCGCTGGGTGTGCCTCTTGGCTCTGAGAACCCTGGGAGTCCCTGCCTAGAAGGGGCTCAGCCCAAACCCATGCCCTGTAGGAGAGCTGCACAGCGGTCGGAGGTGAGGCCCCTCTTCGGCCCACAGCAGGCCCGCCAGGAGGAAGACTGAGCCACCCCTGAACCTCCCAGGCTTTCCCATGGGGAATGTGTCAGACACCGGGATGTGGGGGTCAGGGGCAGCCATACGACTGCTCGGCGGTGGCCATGCTCATCTGTTTGATAAGATGCAGATTCTAAAAATTAGTAACCTTGTGCCCTGTGGTACTGATTTTTGTAATCCATTATCAGAAAAGTTTATCTTTTACTCGAAATGGATCACTTTAGGAAGTTTTGCTGCGTTATTTGAAAAAAATTTTATTACCTCTAAGGATAAAAGCTTTTTTCCCCTCGTTGAATAGCAACTCCGTATGTACAGTGTAAATCAATACTGAAGATGAAATTCGATAAAAAAAAAAAAAAGTAAAAGCTCATCTAACACAACTGTAGAGGAATTCAAGGAGTGCGCGCCCCGTATAGATGGGCTACGTGCAAGGACACTCCTGCCCTGGCTCACCAAGCTCAGCGTCCCCCTGAACAGCCCTCTGCGGCCCATCTCCCAGGAGAGTTCCAACAGTATTCTGTAAAACTGTAAAAGCTGGTTTGTATTAGGAGTCCCTGCTGTTCAGGGCCACCTAATCCTGACCTGGGAGCTGGAACCCCTGGCTTCTGACACTGGCTCTCAACAAACTTGTTGCGTGACCTTGGACAAAGCCCTACCTTCTCTTGACCTCAGTTTATTCATCTGCATGTTGAACCCCCCTTCACAGGGTTAACTCTCCATCTCTGTGGTTCCGTGATATGTCCCCCGTGGCACATGTATGCTCTCGAACATCTACATCAGGCTGAATTTTAGGATGCTCTTCTGAGAGTCCTTAACACCCTGCTCCCCATGTGAGTTTCAGGGCTTGGGAGAAAGGGAAGAGGTCACTGTCACCCAGAGCACTGTGCCTGGCTCAGAATCTCAGCATCGGCAGGTAGGGCACCTTGGAGTGAGTCAACCCTGTGCATAAATGCTCCCTGCATCCTTGGATGAGAGTCTCTGAGCCTCTGCTGGGCCCCTAGTAGTCAAGCTGTTTCAGGGATTCAGCCTAAAGAAGTGGAGGAAATGCAAAACCAGGTTGGGTGGTGATGTGAGTTGGGCCTTGAGGAGGTGGGTGGTCTAAGTATGGAGAAGGCCACACCCCCTGGCACACTGGCCGTATGGGTAAATGGCAGGAGGAGGTCACGTGACAGGCCCAAGAGCCCTTTGAGCTCGGGCCAGGTTTTTGAGCTGGGGGATGGGGTGGGCGCAGTGAAGGGGCCTCTTCACTGCGCCCATTTGCAGCTTCACCCCTCTAGCTTTAAGCCCTGCTGAGACTTCTGGTTGCTTACAGACCTTTCTTCCCAAGGGTGCCCCTGGAGGAGAAACGCAGCCTTTTGGCTATAGGTATGTCTCCCATCCCCCAAGACAGTCCCACTAAGCCGACTACTTACTTCCTTTCTGGAGAAAGGACGCTACGCCCCAATACTTCATCTTGAACTTGGCAGGGTCCTCGGTGTCTGTGAAGGTGCCCAGCATGTCTGCGCACAGGTCCCAGCTACTGCAGAAGCCAAGGGGATCATGAGCCAGGCTGGGCGAAGGGCTGCCTGCATCCCACCCCGGGTGCTCCCGTCCCTCCCCAAACAGGGTTTGGCGCTCAGCCTGGGGGACCCTGCAGCGCAGAGCGCAGCCCCCCATAGGTCACTGACTTAAAGAGACGGACTCGGCCCTTGGCCGTGGCTGTCATGTGGCCATTCTCATTCATGAACTGGGCGACGATGTTGTCCTGCAGAAAGAGGCCCTTGGGGTCCTTCTTGGCCATGGCGTACCAAGTGCCGGAGAACTGGGGAAGGGAGTAGAGCAGCGTTTGGTGTCCGGGAGCGCATGGCCGGCCGCCGGTAAAGGGGAACGGGGCGCATCCGGGACGCAGATACCTACGCGAGCCTTGTCGAAGTTCTCTTTGACTCGGAAGCTGCTCACCCGGCAGTCGCGCTCCGCCCGGGCGCTGCCCAGCGCCGCCAGTAGCACCAGCGCCCACACCCACTCCATCTTGCTCAGGAGTCCGCCCTGAGGGAACCGCGCGCCGTGAGCGCCTGGCGGCCGGACCAGCCGACCCGTCACTGCCAGTCCCTAGACCCCATCCCGCCCGCGCCGAGCCCTCATCCCGCCGGCCCCCGGTCCCCCATCCCTCCTGCCCCCGTACCCCCATCCCGTTCATCCCGGCCCCCCGTCCCTCCCGCGCCTGCCCCCCGGTCCCGCCGGGCCGCCGCTCACGGTCGGGAGCTGCGCTCAAGCCTGGTCGCGGGTCCGGGCGCGCGTGGAGCTAGGGAGGCGAGCTGGGGCCGCCCGGCCGCATTATATAAAGCTCCGGGGGGAGGGGGTCGCGCTTTCGTAACTGCGCGGGATGAAAGACCGAGGGGGAGGCGCCGGGGCCGGCGGGCCAGGACTTGCATAACGCGCCCTGACTCACCGCCGCCCGGGCGCGGGGAGGGTGCCTTTGGGCGAGAGCCTCACCTCCAGCGCCGCCCGGGGCTTGTGGAGCTGCCGCGCGGGGTGGCCTCGGCGGAGCCCAACTCTCCGGCGGCGGCGAGCCGCGGGAACCAGCCCTGGCCTAGTTACCCAACACGGGTGCCAGCGGCCGCCAGCTGCGGCCTGGGGTGGCCTCGGGGCCCAATTGCTCTGGCCGGAGGCTCAGGTCGGTCTGGCGGGAAGACCGTGGCCTCCCAGAGCGAGGGGCATCTGCGGTGCTGCCCGGTGCGTTAGTGCCTGGGCCGGGCCGTGCGCAACTGGCCCCTCGGCCCTCTGAGGGCTACTTGTGCAGCGGTCTGGGACTGTTTCCGCCAAGTAGTTTTTCATTTTATAAAGGATGTCTTTTACTCTCTTTCAGGGGAGTTGTGGTGCTCTCTGGATCAATATTTGTTCTTTAGTTTCAACATCTTTAGAAGCATTAAAACCCTCCCTGTTAAATATTCTCCAGAAACGCAACCCTGGTAGGACAGGAAATATTTTAGCAACCTCGGTGGTCGCCTACTTACTCTGTGGCACTTCACTCAAGCCACTTGGAAACACACCTACCAGTTGTTTATGCTGCAATTTTATTTCAAAGCCAGAATGGAATTTTGTTTTGTTTTCAAAACAGCTAAGGTGAATTGACTGAGGAGAGAAGAGGGGGAGGTGAACAAACTCTATAACGTCAATGGACAATTAAGTCAAAGTGCTGTGACTAGCTGTGTGATTTTGTGCAGTCATGGCACAATTCACTGACCGTGTTTTTCTCTTTCTATTCAGAGTTAAGAGCTCCTCTACTCTGACCAAAGCAGTCAGAAGATGCAGCTTTGGACTGAATGAGAATTAGAGATATGGCAAAGAGCTATTTTTTTGTAAAGACGCCTCTGCTGTACAGTATCAGCTGTGTCTCCATGGCCCAAACTGGAAAGGACCGCGATGAATTTGGTCCATTTTGCTACCGCCAGACCTGAAATAAGAGCGGGTGGAGGTAGAGGAGGGTGGCTGCCAAACAGAGAAATAAAGACTTGATGGTCTTTACAGGGCATTGGGGTTACTTCTGAGCCTCCTGAAAAAAAAAAAACACCTGTGGCTCCTGCCACTTTCCTGTGACTCTCAGGCTGTCTTGGGAGTGCCAACAGTGATGCAATTAACTCCTTACTGCCTCCTTCTTGCTGCTAAGAAAGCCCTGTTTCAGGCCTACCAGCTAACTAGGAGGTCTTCTGGTGAGGTTAATTTTATCACAAGATGTATAATCCCAAACAGCTCAAATAAGGTCTGCTCCAGAGCTACTCCTGCAGGAACCCCACGTGTGGCCATACATGTGGTAGTACCTATGCTCCCTAGGTGGGAAAGGACTTTAGGGTACCTCTCTATCTCGTGTCCAATGCGTGGATCCCCTCTTTGACATTCCAAAGTAGAGATCTATCAGCCTGTCCTCCAGCACCTCCAGTGATGGAGAGCTCCTGGCTGAACCCAATTGCCTTTGGACCGTTATGACTGCCAGAAAAGTTCTCCTCATTCTCCCAGCCATTGTCAACTGTTTCTTCCAGAGCGTATTCTTGGGGTCCTTGCTCGTGCCATATGTTAAATAAATATAGGGGATTTCAATGCATTTTTATGGTGCTTGTTTTTGCAGCAATACGTTTTTATTTATTTGTTAGATGCTTAAAAGTTGATGTAACTGTTCTTCCTCCCCCACCCCCCTCTCTTTTAATGATAAATCATGAACCTTGGTGTCCCAGACACCAGCAAAGAAAAACAGTTTGTTGGCATGCTCACTCGAATTTCTTCATGATTATAAACATGTGAGTACAGGTCAACTAGTGTTTTTAAATTCGGTGCTTTGAAATTTATCTTCATAAAATAATTTTTTATATATGCAGATGTGTGTATAATGTCAATAGGAAAAGTGTTCACAGTGATTACCTGTGTGATAGGATTAGGGACATTTAAAGGTTTATTACTGATTTGTACCTTTTTCGTAATTTCCAGATTTTCCTACAGTGAAAATATTTAATCAGAAAATAAAACAAATATTCTCTTTGCAAAAATTTTTCTTTTTTTCTTCTAGAAGTAAAATTATGGTCTAAATTACAACTTATGGACTGTATATAATATACACAAAAGTTCATTGCCCTGTCATACTTCGTGGAGAGACAGACCATGTTTCCTTCATCTTGGTATCCACCCCACCCCCAACTTTTCCACAGGATTTCTCAAGAGACTTACACATAGTAGGTGCTTGCTCAATAGATATTGATTTAATTTGTTTTACTGAAATCAGTCACTTTAGGTAAGCTTTATAAAATACTTATCTAAAAAGACCTGGTCAGAGGTCACTCTTTCTAAAATATAATTTCCCAGGATTTAACAACTGGAGCAGAGATGGCTAGCTGTCCTTTCACCAAAAAAGTTTTCACTTCCCTTCCATGGTGTAGAGTTGTTGGAAAGAAGCCACCCTGCCAGAGGGCACCTCCTCACTTCCTGCAGCTCTGTAAGATCACATGCCTATGTTCTGGTCAGTGGAATGTGGACGAAAGTGCTGTGTGTCATTCCCAGACGGTGCTTATAAAAGCTGCCGGTCTAATTGTCCTTGCTGTCTGTCTTTCCTCATCTGCTGGCTGGTGAAGCCTCCATCAACCTGGGACCCCACCAGTGATTATCTTTATGTGAATGAGAAATAAACTTCCATTTGATTAAGTTGCTGGGATTTAGGGGTTACCTGTAACAGAAGCTAGCGTTACCTTAACTAATACAGCAGCAAGCAAGTCACTAACTCCTAGGAAATAGTGAAAAGTGTTTTACCCTAATTGAAAAAAAGAACTAATGCAAGAAATTTATGTCCTTAGCCTCATAAAAATTAAGCATGTCCAACTAGTTCCATTTTGTACAAACTGACATTTACATCCACATCCTGACAGAGAGGCCAAGAAAAATTAATAACAAGGAAATTGGGTAGCATTTATCTTCTGACTGCATTTAAAAGATGTCAAAATAATCGGTGGGAAAATGGAAAGATTAGTTATTTAGCCAATGTTTTCAGGTACAAAAAGTCAAACTAATTTTTTTCATAAAGATTTTTTCAGTGATTACAAAGCCATCAGTCCGTTTCATCAATCTCGCTGAAAATAACATGGATTCCACCAAATGAATTATCTCTGAGATACCTGGTCATGACCATCAATTTGGTGCAGGCAAAAGCTCTCATGAGAGCAAATGTGCAAGGTGAGAGGGCCCTTTGTGGTTAACTGTCATGATGTGCCTGAAATCCCTGCCATTAGAGGATGTCTTTTGGTGATGAATAATGGTAGGAGCAGAGAATTTGGCTAAAGTGGAGCTGAAGAGCGGGTCCAATATAATGATCCAAAATACACATGGTTAGCCCAGTATATTGTTGTGAGTTTTATGTTAGTGCTTCAACCTCATGTGCATTTTTTTTGGGGGGGGGGAGCTGTTAAATAAGCATTACTTCCTGCAGAAATAGTTAACTGCAGTGGAAAATTTTAGCAATTAAATATTACATGTGTTCATGAATATAGTATACTATTGGAAAATGTAAATTTGTTAAGCAGAAAGATTAAGGAAGTTAAACCATTCTTTGATATATCTGTAGGCTTTTAAAATGAGTTCCTGGAATTTTAATTTAATTCTTGTATTGGTGTTTAACATTTTATTATATAGGTCTAGATTTTAAATTCCTCAAAGGAAAAGTCTTGTATGTTCCTCTGTAGGAGCTATTATGGTATCTTGTACACCTCATGGGTGTATTTTAAAATTTATTCCTATTTAAGCTCGTAGTTTGGGGTAGGTCACTATCACTAGCTGTGTGACCTTGAGCAAGTTATTTAATTTCTCTGTGCTTCGATTTCTCACCTGTAAAATACAGATAATAATATACACACCTCATAAGGTTATTGTTAGGATGAAATGAGATGATATATATATAAGGGTCTTAGAAGGGTGCCTGGCACAGATTATATATTATAACGTTAGCTTTTTTTTTTTTTAACATCTTTATTGGAGTATAATTGCTTTACAGTGGTGTGTTAGTTTATGCTGTATAACAAAGTGAATCAGCTATACATATACATACATCCCCATATCTCCTCCCTCTTGTATCTCCCTCCCACCGTCCCTATCCCACCCCTCTAGGTGGACAAAAAGCACCGAGCTGATCTCCCTGTGCTATGCGGCTGCTTCCCACTAGCTAGCTATTTTACATTTGGTAGTCTATATATGTCCATGTCACTCTCTCACTTCGTCCCAGCTTACCCTTCCCCCTCCCCGTGTCCTCAAGTTCATTCTCTATGTCTGTGTTAAAGTTAGCTGTTCTTATGATCACTTTTTAATTATCACTACTTGTGGCTTGTCTTTCTAAAAATATTCTGTGTAAATGGAATGGAGTTTTCACATCAATTTAGTTATTGTTTCTGAGATGCTTTGTCTAAATAAATGATTGTCAATGTCTGTAACATCTAAGATATTGGTCTTTTTCCTCGTTCTTCCCACGAGTTACTGTTCTATTTTTTAAAAACTTGTTCTTTAAACGAACTGGAAATGCTGATATAAA